TACAAGGCCTCAAGATGCTCTCCTCCTCTCTATCTCTCTAGCTATTCTCTCCTCCTTTGTGGTAGCTTAAGATCTCTTCCTTTGCTCTCTTAAGCCTCACACCCTCTCTATTTATAGAAGCAGACAAGAGAGTGGTAGGTGGGAGCTAGGTGAGCGGTAGGTGAGCGGCATGTGAGATGTGATAGGTGAGCGGTACCACATTACAAAAGTGTTTTTTTACCTTAGTTCATTAATTGGGGGTCAAAATAACACTATCTTTCATGCAAAGAATAAACATATCGAAATCGACTTTCATTTTATTTGAGATCACATTTCCAATAGGACAGTAAGTGCTCAACATATTGCAACACAAAATCAAGTGGCTGCTATACTTGCTAAAATCCTCCATCCTTCCAATTTCGCAACCACAGGGACAAATTAAGAATCAAAATGAATAACCTATGGATTCTTAATTTGAGGGGGGCTTTAAACGTGCCTTACTTATTATCTTATATTAGCTTCTACGGCTTATGTTCTAATTAATTATAGCTTATGTACTAATTAATTCTTACTAGCTTTGTCCTATATCAAACACGCCAACTTATTACTTGTGAAATACACCCATTTGTAACACCAAAGTATTATAAATTATATAAATATTAAAAATAGGTGTTAGATATGTAAATATATAAGTATTGTGTGGCGTCTATGTAAATTTCCCATTAATCAAATGAATTAATCTAGTTTGGAAAATAAAAATAAAAAAAAAAAAAAAAAAAAAAAAAAAACATATGGGATGAGAGACGTGGGAACTAACCTTATCTTTGTCTTTGAATTGATGGAACGATTCAAGGTTCTCACCCTATATAATAAATGGTGTAGATTTACTTATCCCATAGAAGAGATGAGATTCTCTAAATACTTTACTTGTTCTTATCCGACTCGATCTTTCCAAAGAATATAATCCATTTTAGTGCCACAACTTTTTCTATTTATATTTGTTAACTTTTCTTTTCAATCGGAACGCTTAGGCTTTGTTTGGCTTGAAGTAGGTGGGAGGAAATTAAAAAATAATTATGAAAAGTTATTAAAATTGATTTTCACCAACTTCTTTGGTTAAGGAGAAGAGAAGAAATCTTAATTTTTTGTTTAATTTGAAATTATTATTTGATACTCAAAAATGTTTTTTTTTTATTTTTTTGTCAAATGTCATTAAAATTAAGAATGGAATTGTCCATGAAAAAAAAAAAATTTTATTGTTTGTGTTTCATTAAATTTGGGTGATTTATAAATACACCAATCGCTATGGACTATAGCCCAACCCCCAACACTTGTTGCCAGCCGTAGCCGCCACCTGCCACGATTGCCTCTACAACAGGGTGCATGCTAGACATCATCGTCAATCACCATCACCACCGACCATGTTTTATCTTGATTTCATTTTTTTTTTTTAACTCATATTTATTTTACAGTGAGTCAAACACCATCAAACTAATCTAAGTATACTTCATTTCAATTTTTATATAATTTTTTTTGTTTTTTTCCGGCAAAGTAAATAGCCATTTCAATAAACCAAACATCCCCTAATTTTTTTCTTGACTCAAACAAATTGGGAAAAGACATCTATAATTTTCATTTTTCCCTATTTTCTTAAAAGAATTCGTAGTAAAATAATGTTTACGATACAAATACAATTATTTCCTAATTTACTCTAGGTAACATAATTGCTATTTGATGTGAATTGATATGTTCCTTAATAGCATGGTTTGACTCCCATGTTGTCGCGTGATAAAATTATCTCCATGCAATGAATCTCGGACATAATAAACGCTAAAAATTACGGACTACAGTAGAAAATGACAACACTAACTTAGCACATGCAAAGTATTTGTGTCAAGTTCAAAATAAATTTGGACAAGCATGCCCCTTTTAAGAAAAAAACATAGGAAACTTTTTCATTCATTTTTTTATTTACTCTGGTGAAGATTTCTCATGCAAAAACATTTTACATTTTTACCCAACAAATTGCCAAAATTTATCAGGGATAAATATTTATTTGGTCCCAATTAGGCGAAGGAACACTACTCAAGCAAATTTGCGTACATAGATTAAGAAATGAGAGAGAGAGAGAGAGAGAGAGAGAATATATTACACATGGCCCCATTATAACTTGAGCTTGAGCAGAAGGGTACAGACATGACAAGTGGCATTTTCGTAGATTATTAGAAAGAGAGGGGCGGTCCTGGACTGCTTGCCAGCTCGTCCTGTAGTACTTGGTGGATGGCTGAGACTTTGTCAGCTTCAATAAGGGATAGCATGTGGTGCACCGCGGCCGCAATTTCATCTACCGTGGTTAGGCTGCATCCTTCATCAACCTTCGATAGCATAATTAATCATTAATTATATATCTTCTTACAAAATCATGCATAAAATAAAACTTAAGCGCTCGTTAATCACATTATTAAATTGGGGAAAAAGTACTTCAGCGGCTAAGAGAGGAGCTTATCTTCAATTTTCAAATTGCTCTTCAAGTTGATTGCAATTTCGAAATTGACAGTAGGCTAAAAACAGCCAAATGCTGGAGCTGTCTGGGCAAAAATATAAATAAATAGATAAATCACCTTCACTCAGTAATTTGCACACTTTTTCATGGAGGGCAATAGTCTTCGTCGTATTAGTGGATTCCTCTTGGGAAATGTCACATCTCAAATGGGCCCCAAATTTGGCTTCCCGTAAAAAAGTAAGAATCTACGGCCTATATTTCACACCCAAATTACCCCGCTAAAATCAAAATTGAAGTTAGAGTAAAATGGACGTAAATATAAAAACTTAAAATGTTAGATACATAAAAATATGATTTTTATGTATTTTCAAAATTAAAAATTTTGATATATGTATTTATAATTTATTGTTAAATATTAATTGCTTATGAGTGCACAAAGTTTTATAAAAAAATTGAAACAATGCTTTTCTCTTTTTTTTTTTTTTTTAACTTACATGTATAACATAAATTTTTAATGTATTTATATATGTAAGCTTTAAGTTTTAATATTTATTTATATAACATAAAATTTTTAGTATCATGTAAAAATATCAATAAATTTAATTTTGTAAAGGCAAAATATTTTTTGAAATATAATTACTCTATTAAAGTGATATATAACTAAATATTAAAACTTAATTGTTAGATATATAAATACATATAAATTATGTGGTACGTAAGGAAACTATTTTAATCTATTAGTTGAGAGTTTAATCATTCAACCAAGAGCTATTGGAATTAAGGTTTTGCATAGATGTCTTGTGTGTATTTGAGATTAAATTAGCTCAAATATCTTTCTGAGAGTAAATTTGGCCCGGGGTAGATAACTCGACCTTAGCTACCTACCCCGTGCAATATTTTCTCATAACAAAGACAAATAGGCTGGCAAGTGAATGATGAGAAAAGAGTCCAAATCTGAAGAAAGCTCCACAAACCTTACAAGTCTTAAAATAGAGACTTGATTATTTTAAAAGTTTCTTAATAAAGTTAAGGCCATGCCCTTTGGCCCTCCCATGATTCGCAGCCCTAAGAAAGGTTCCTCACTTCATACTTCTTTTACGCTTCCTAATTTAGATTATAACACCATAAGAAGCTTATAGTTTAAATTATTGTTTTATTTCCTTGAAAACTACTAATTGATGTGACAGAAGCTCCAAGAAATATCCGACACTTCTCAAACTTCAATAAAAACATTGATTCAGTTCTGCTAATCGATGCCTAATTTATTAACTTAGGATTAAGGCTTAAGAATCTACAGCAATGTAGTTTGTAAATGTGTGGGGACCATCGAGTAATTATTAATGTGCTAATGAAAGAGGCTTGTATTGTTAAAATTACATCAATATGTGCCGCTCTACTCCTGATTAGATGTGAGGTCCAGACTCCAAACTTATGATTTCACATTTTTATTAAATTATCACTTTGCCATGTGCCTGCGAGCCTGCTATTCCTTCTAACCAATAATTGTGGCCTGAGCGTATAATATTCTTCTTACATATAATATGTTATATATATAATACAGTATAACTTAAGGCATTTTGTTCTGTTTAAAAAAAGAGAAAATATGCTAAATATCTTAGCTTTATTTAATATTCACTCAGTAAGGCTCCTTTCAATTTCCCATCAATAATAAAAATCGCAAAATCAGAACTTTTGTATAGTGAAAGTCACTTCAACAACTTCTACCTATTTCGAAATTCACATATTTTATTTTTACAGATCTACCTATTCATTACTTCAAAAAATAACCTAAGGAAAGATAGTCATTTTATTTATATAATAATTCTTTGATTATTTACTTGTTCAGGCAATGATTATTGAGCTATTGCAAGCGTACCTTGACACTGAGGGAGTAAAGAACAATGGAGTCCAATGTAGTGACATTGAGATGAAGAATGGAAAGCCTGACCGCATGGAGGCCTGCCACCAATTGTATCAGTTGCCGCGGTCTTTTGGGCGACAGGATTCGAAGGCTCGCGTGCTGGGAGCCACCGCGGTGGCGCCCCCCGCCGGCGACCGGATCTCCGGCGCCGGCGATGGGTACTCATGGCGAGGATGGCACCAGTTATACTGTGGATAGGAGAAGAACTGAGCAAACGGAGGTTGCTCTGTCTCTTCGTTGCTCTTCTTTAACCCATTTCCAGAATCATTAATGCACACATTGGCCTTCTGAGTTTGCTCAATTGCCCTCTTTTGGGCCTCTAGGGATTGGAGGAGATGCTCCAATTCCTTGACAAAGTCAATGGCCCCTCCCACAATTGAGGCCTGGTCTCCCTGCAACGCATTAATTGCGAATGAGAGGAGCCCTGTTTTAAATTCACCTCATTTATGAAACTGTATCAGATAATGGAGTTGATGAACATAAGTGACTGTAGAGGAAAGCAACTCGACACCAATGAGAAGAGGAGACATATATAGTACACATAAAGAAATTAAAGAAAGATGGGGTCTTTCCGTTGGATTTTTCATAAAAGAGGGAGCTTTGGAGTAGAGAGCAAACAAACCCTTTGGATGTAGGATTCCGGCATTAGGGAGCGGAGCATGGCGAGGTGCTCGTTCATCTGTCGCCGGCGATTGCGCTCCACGGCAATGTGGGTCATGCGCTGCGTCTCGGCTTCTTCTTTGTTCTTGCAGCTCCTCGGCCGGCGCCGCCGCTTTCGCCTCT